TGTAAGAGCTGCCTACCTACTCTCCTGCCCTTGAACCTCGGGTTGCAGGAGAGGGTTGATTGAAGATTATTTATTTGGTATTTGATACAGGGGGAATGGGGATTAAGATGCAGATGAACCAAATAGGAGATATTAACTGGAGAGAAACTCCTCACCGTCCTTAAGACTTCTGCTAAGTGGCGTGAGGAGTTTGTAAGCTACGGGTGGAGTGGCTGCTAAAGCAATTTTTCTTGCTTAGCAGGAATAGCACTAGCAAATGAAGGGACATTTGGCATAAACAATTGGGAGTCGTATGCAACGGAGATGCCTAGTTCTACCTCTTGCTAAGATGAGTTTAATGAGGTTTAGCAGCTCTCGGGAGGGAAGAAAATAAAACGTCTATGAAGCATATGTTTTAGGCCCTGCTTTTCCGTTTGTTAGTTGTGGACCTGCATAGAAGAACCTTGAGATCTACGAGAATATCTAAGTGCGACGAATATTTCTGCTGTCAGGTGTCCCCTCTCCGGATTGATGACTCGGAAGTCTAACTTGTATGATCATTCCTATATTATTGGCTTTGTAGCAGTCGTTGACATAAGAGGTCAATAAGGACAAACTGCTGGTGTGACACAAAAGAAAGAAGACTATGCAAAGTCGCAAAATAGGAATATTAGTAGCCCCACCATTGCGCCTTATTCTTCCTTAGAGCATTGCTGGAAACATTAAGTCTTACTCTACGCCACTGAAACATACCACAAGGTAGTATTACATTATGCTTCCACTTCATGGAAGAAGATAGTCATCAATAATGTGATGGTAATACTTTCCTTATGTGATCAACCGATGTTTTGCATTTACTTTGGCAATCGCTCTTCCTCGCATGTATGAGATGGCCTGCGGGCCATGACTGTAATGCTTTGTCTATGTGACTACCGGACGTTTGGCGGTCACTTTAGAATTTGCCTGGCCCTTGTACATGTGGGCTGGCCTTCGGGCCACCTTCAGGCCCCATTTGCCCTGTCGTCTCCAGAATGCATGTATTTTAACCTCACTTTTGCCTTCTTCTACCCTATGGGAAGCCTCGGGACGCTACAATGACAAATCGTATTCCCTTATTCTTCCCCCAGATTACATGTATAGAGCCCAAATTAATGCTCCTTTTACCTGGTGGAGTCACAGGGACCTGAAATAGCAGTCTTGCAGTGAAACAGTCGAGACTTCCAACGTTAAATACCCTTAAATCTTCAGCGTTTCATAAACCGCATAATTTCAGTAAAAGTATAAGCCTCTGAACGTTACCTTAAAATTTTACATGCATGCTTTCAAGCCATATTCGCCAATTTAGCTTTAAAACAATGTAACAATAATATAGCTGTTCACTACCATTTTCTTCCCTCTTTTGTTCATTTATTGATCAGTGGAAAAGCCGGTGTTTCGAAAGGTCTAAGTTTCACGCGTTGTCATCTAACCTTGTTTATCACAATGATCGGCGATACACCTCTGGTGGATACCTATGAGGCTAACTCGGATTCAGACGAAACAGAAGATGATTATGAGATGGATTCAATTGGGTCATTTTTGGAGCGCGTCCAGGTTGTTAGGCAGACTCCTTTTGAGTTACCGAAGACAGTTTCCCTAATCGAGTGTCCTAACGGCACGAAAGTATATCTGGTAGGAACGGCTCACTTCAGCAAGGAAAGTATCGCGGATGTCCGTTTTGTATGATTTGGTCACTTCATGCATGTTATGCACAGTTTAGATTATGGGAAATACCCTTCCCGACGTTGTTGTTGTTGAGTTGTGTAGGAATCGAAGTCATTCTATGCTTCTATCTGAAGACGATATAAAGAGACAAATTCGGGAGAATAGCTTGATTGCTTACGTAAGAAATGTGAGTCTGGTTGTTGCGCGCCAACTTTTTGGCTGTTACTTTGCTTAAACATTCCTATCAAATTGCGCCACCGTTCATCTTTGGAAAGTAGGGTGCTTGATTCATTGCCTTTGGTGAAGTATTAGTTATATGTGCGGAGTCTAGTAGTTTTGACGCTTATAATAAAGGTCTGTGGTGACACATCTGGTGGAAATTTGTCCCTTTGAGAAGAACTCACCTATGTTGCTTCCCACAACAAATGTTTTTAGATGGGTGTATCAAATGGTGTTCTACAGTATCTCTTGCTTCGATTCACAAAGTATATTATGGATCAAATAGGAATGGCACCTGGTGGTGAATTTCGTGCTGCGTTCCAGGAAGTAAGGACATCATTACGGTAGCTTTTGTTAATTCCAACTTATTGATATCTTATTTAAATTCCTTATTTAGGCTTCTAGGCAAGCTCACTGTCACCTTATTCTCGGTGACCGACCAATTAAAATAACCTTACAAAGGGCAATGGATGCACTGGGGTTGTGGCAGAAAACGAAATTTTTCTTCTCTTTGTTATTCGACTTTGAGGAAATAACGTGCGTAACTTACTTGTAAAGTAATGTTCTATTAGTATGTCTTAAGTCGCTGGAAATTCGTATGCTCAATGATTATACAAGTGTGCCTTTTTAACCCTTAAGACGGGACAATTCCATAGGTGCCGACTGCTGACGCTTGTAAGCTCTTTACTTTTTGATTACCGTCACTTTTCGAATGAAGCTAAGGGGTCAAGCAAAGTTAAAATCGGTGCTTTATCCATTTCCTTTTCTGCTCCAGTCCCGAGGATGTTGAAGAAATGAAAAGTGAAGACCTTCTGGAAAAGCTAATTAAGGCATTGGCTGGTGACTACCCCGAGTTGACACGCATTATTTTGGAAGAGCGAGATCTATATCTAACGCGATCCATTTGGGAGGTGTGCGGTTTGTCAACTGAAGAGCTGGGACATGCTACAGATCAAAAGAGAGAGGAAATGGGTCTCGAAGACCATGAAGAAGAAGCGGGAATAGCAGTGCGCAGGCGGCCCAGTCACGGCCAGAAGCGAAGGGATTTAGACGAGAGGGGAGAGGCCTCGATGGCGGTGGATCTATTGGAACCTGAAGAACGCTCTCATCTCCGTCAAGATTGCTGTTGCTGGTGTCCCGAGTGGCCTGGATCAAGTATTTTACCTCGTGTCGTTGTTGCAGTTGTCGGAATTGGCCACGTGGCCGGCATAAAGAAGGCGTGGAATCACGCTGCCACCATCGATAAAGCTGAACTCCGAAGGTTTTGTAATACACTTATACACTGTCTCAATCTTGAATCTCATTGTTATTGTCTTGATAGTCTTTAGAACAATAAGTTCCAAAGGGCTTGTCGAACTAAGTTGAATTTGGTTCAGGGTCAAATCAATTTCATTTGGTTTCCTTTTAACCATTTAGTTTTGGTGCTTATGTCGAATTTGTGGTAGCAGGTTGATTGCCTTTAAAGGACACTGTTGGTCCTCTTCGCTAGCGGTGCTATGTACATCTTAAAGCATTTTTAGTTTGTGATTGAAACCACAACCAGACTGTCACCTCTTCGACATCTATGTGATTCCGCAAGAAATGGCAGCTTATTACTTTGGTTATTGTTTAACTTAGAGTGGTTGTCCATTTTATCAACATCTTTCCCCGTCAGTGGTATGTGGGCAAATAGTTCCTTTCTGCCTGCTTTATTTAGGGCGTTTTATATGTTACAGGGTGAAGCCGACATCTCGTCAATGGGTCTTTTTTCGCTGGATGTCTCGAGCACTTATTATCTCTGCCTTCGGTCTTGCTGCGTGTTTGGCATTATACGGTGTGTACCAGGCGGGTCGCTACTTTTTCCAAGGCGCTCTTTACGTCTATTCGAGATTTGCCCTATTCCCCTGATGCCGCGATCGACCAATTGGTCCATTGTCGCAATTCCCCCTAAGTACCCTCAATGCCTTCTATACAAGTATAGCTAATATGGTGATTTACAATGATCTTTGGGATGCTCACTGACCCATTATTACTTAAAACATTCCGGACTATAGAAGACCCAATACATGCTTGACGCGTCCTCAGTCGTAATTTATAGACGATGGCACATGTTGAGTGGGGGAGGCGTTCGGATAGCTTGATTATCTTTTCACAAAATTGATGATTCTAGAGCGTTATCCCCTCTGGGTTATAGGGACGTCAAGATCCGTCTTGGAATGATCTCGTTAAGGTAACTAGGGCTCCACGACGTACTATATGAGCTGCGTGGGCGTATGTCCTAGTGGGCTCAAGTTTGGCTGCCTTCTTGGTATGGGGCCGGTAGGGTGCATCCGTTAATTTCAAACATTCGGTTGCATCGCCAATGGTTTTCTTCACAGTTCTCATTTGTAGGTGGATTTTGTAAAAACTCAAATTCTCATTCAGAATGTTGCCCAGAATGCGATGCAAGTCCCATGGCGGATAGGATTCTTATAAAGCTGTAGGGTTTTTCATGGTTAGATATTCCTTTCTACTACAAAGTGAAGAGAGACAAACTCCTCAAATTGACTTGGAAGTAGGGGTAGTATTACTTTCCTCCCCGCTTCTTCTTGCCCTTGGGTTTGGGAGCTAATTTTCGGATCATGTCGTAGGTGTCCTGGTTAATGAGGTGGGTGACCCGTACACCAATCCGCGGAAGGTTGTTGTCCTTTCGAGCCAGAATACCCTCCAACACGATGCGGCCCGCAACTTGGCCAATATCATTGCCGAAAATGTCGACCTCCTGCAGATCCTTCGAATACGCTATTATGCTACAAGCGATTAAGTAGAGGGTGTTGGTGATTATAGTGGCCTATTAGAACAGTTCAGTTTGGAAAACTGCCTAAAATACTGATTAACGACAAGTTTGCCACACCTTCCTTCCAATGGTGGTCGCAAAATATCATTCATTCAAAGTCGAGAAGTCTCATAACAACTTGCGTTTTTAACAATTGCATGCAGCGAGCCGGAGCAAAACTGCCTCCTCGACCGATGCTGTTGATGCTGTTCTCTGCCATGTGGATGTGGGTGATTTGAGGTCCACATGGCGGCATTTTGGCAGCTTTCTTCTTATTTGTCCCTACAAAAAACGATTTGTAAAGCTTACTTATATCAAAACCACCGTTTTAAATTTACCGACGTGCAGCCGTAGTCCTGCAATATAGAAAGCACCGTTTCCCATAATCATAGAGAACCAAATAGAATAAAAAGGAATCACCCTTGCCGAGAGTTCGCTTTTTCCTGCTTGCACTAACGTTTGTATTCGCCGCATTCTCCTGAGTGTTTGCATTTATAGACACGATTTCTGGATTCAAATCGGCGATCGTACTCGGACTTTCACCTGCGTGCGTCTCCGATTCCGTTAGGGGGCCATCAAGGTCAATTCGCTTTCTTGCAGCTTTGAATGAGCAAATGAAGCCGCTGATTATAAGCATCATGTGGATTCTTTTAAAAAATTCGCCCGAGATTTATTTCACATTGAAGAAATTATAAATACTATAACAAAACTTCATTTTCTGTAGCAATAAAACCTCAAGAAAAATACTGCGAAGCGACGAGCAGAACACCTCCTCACTTCACTATCCGATGCAGTGGCTTATGTTAGACTCACCTTGAGACTGGGCCGCTGCGGCGACCATCCTTTCGGCCTTTAATCGCTCGCGTTCCTTTCCCTCCAGGTATGCTGCCTCAGCCAATTGCGTGAGCAGAGCGGTTGCACCTTCAGCCTCCAAGTTATTCCCGTCCACAAAAAGCTCCCTAGATCCCATATCAATAAATTATTTGCGTTTAAATTTCTGCCACTCATTTATATGGTAGACTTACACAGTTCCAGTAATCATGGAAAGGTGTCTACTTGAAGAGCGCTTAAGCACTATCAAACTATAGTTGATTTAGCCGAATAAGAACGATACAAGCGTTAACATAAATCATA